AATGTTTTCATACTGTAACTGTAGCAAATCTCGCTGCAACTGCGCATTCTGCCAGATCATCTTATACGCCTCTTCCTTGGCAGTCTCTGCCCTTCTCTGGGTCTGCAGCACCAGCATTTTGGCTTTGTGTTCAGCCTGAGCCATGTGGAACATAGCTTCTTCGTAGGGAGACATCCCTTCCACGCCATCCTCATTAGGGTCGTGGTTTCTGTCCAACGTCAGGGTCGGCTCACGACTGAAGCTGTTGCTGCCTTCTCCCCAGGGATTCTGCCGGTTGAAGATGCTACCAAATCTGCTCTGCCTGGGTGATATGCTGTTGCTGCTCAGTCGTGGTTCAAACGCAGGAAAGGTACGACGCCTCTTGGCCATGGGGTCCAACTCGTGGCTTCTATTTGGACGACGGAAAGGATTGGTGAAGGTACTGGGTGGTGTGCTTTGATGGTTCTCTGCAGTCCTCTTGATGCAGGAGCGTTCTGTTCTGGGTGGGGCTTCTGGTACTTCACTTGCCACCTCCGTGGCAACCTTGGCGATGCTTGGAGGTACGTATTCAAAATCGGGTTCCTCCTTGACTCTCATCTCAGAGCTGGCGTCTGTTTCCTCATCTGAGATTTCACACTCACCGGGTTCAGATTTCAAAATTGGTTCCTCCACCACATTCTCCTCACCTTCATTCTCGTCGTCAGCAGCTGGTTTTACCAGGAAGGCTTCACTCAGATCTCTGCCAGAAAAAATACCCCCCCCAAAAAACCCTGATGAAACTCTGACTAAAACGAAATGTACACTGCGTCTATTTCCACCGCAATACAGTGTGCAAAGTAGCAATTCCATGATTCTCAACACAGTGCCAAGAATATGTACATGTAGTTGCAAAGTTTTCACTTCCAACATTTATTTCCACGATGCCATTATTAGGTATTCAAATATAACGAGTGATTAATGCATATGGTAAACCATTCACCAAATATATCCTGAGTACTGGATTGGTAATGATCAGTTTTGTATTTGAGTCTATTACAAGTCCCTGTAAGCCACCACAAGTCCCTGTAAGTTCATTACAAGTCCCTGTAAGCCCATCACAAATTCTTGTAAGTCCATCACAAGTCATTCAATCTCAAGCCAATTCACAAGCTATTCAAATAAGCTGTGACAAAAGCATTCTTTTGTAACTGTTCAACCTGTTACTTATGACTGGCCTTGAGACGGGACCAGGGGTGTGAGTGGCCGCATACAAAAAAGCTGAAAACAGCTAACAAAAGGCTGAAACATTAACAGTTTCTATAATTTTGTACAACGCAGGTGTACAAAAAAGCTCAAAGTTATGATAAAAATCCAAACCAAAAAAGCTGAATCAGCTAAAAGCTGAATTCTCACACCCCTGAGGGACTTATGAAAGGACTTATGATGGACTCAAATACAACACTGGTAAAGATTGCCATTTGAACTTGGCTCTAAGAAATACCTGTTCTTCAAGGCCGCTGCCAAGATCATCTCTTGCTTCTCATCGTCCGGACAGAGTTCCTCTTTGTACGGCTTGATCATTTCATAGACTAAGAAGCTTGTGTCATCAGGCTGTATCACCTGTGACCCTGGAAGGGGCATTCCAGAACCCGACTCAGCACACGCCTTCAGCCATGGACCCACCTCCTTCTTGGCTTTCAGCTTAAGACGGCGGTAGAGATCCTTGACACAAGACAGAGAGAAACATGGGGGATGGTACCAGTAAAGAACATGTGCAATGGCAGGTGTACATGAATGTCTTGCAAACTGTTCCGACAATACGAACAATGTTAACAATAATCAGCATTACTTTAGCTCGTTAGTCAAATTTCAAAAATTTCTGAAAAGTTACAAAAGAACATACATTAAAAGTCATGTTACTACTTCTCTAAAGTGACGGATGATTTTCAGATATTTCTTTAAAAAAAGGAGCAACAATATAAAAAAACATGGGTTAACAACAATATAATTACAACATACCTTGAAAATTTGAGGGTTTTTTCAGAAGTTATTAATACTACTTCAACACAACACACTGGATTGTGACAATCTCCTTTTATGATTGCTCTTGCATCAAAACTGTTTGCATGTGCATATACATGTAGCCTTAAACTTACGTGTTTTAATTTTCTGCAAATATCCAATATTTAACACTTACGAAAATGATCCCTGGTCTAAAGTCAGCATACCTTCATTTGGGTGAAGTTACGCGGGTGAGATGCCTGACGATGAAACTTCTTGGAGATAGCCGCCCATGCCTTATACTTGGCCGAGTTGTTCTTGTGGTCTGTCTTACGACACTCTAAGACTGCCACGTGGTCTGCGATCAGTGACAGCAGTAAGCCTTTATCTTCCTCGCTGAAGTTATCAGCTCGTGTCTTCTTGTCTGCACCCCGCATGGCAGCAAGTGGGTCCAATGAAGACACAGCACTGGCTTAAGTTAAAAATGCTGACGGTAGGACACTTACAGCACGGTATACAAGTCTAAAGAGTCTGAAGACAGACTTTGTTAACACTGCTGTATTCTGTATGTGTCTATCCCACAATTATAAACGTTCTTCAGGATTCAATCACAATGAGACATGCATGCACGCATTCCAAGTCTTATACTGGCAAACAACTACATGTACATGTAAGCCTTTGGTGAGCTTAAGGCTTCAACAGTACAGTCTATCCCCAGCCCTGAGAACCAGAATCTCGACACCTCAGTTGAAATGAACATTCTCAGCAGACTTTGGTACGGTCAAGATGGGTGTCTAGCAGTAGCATCAAAACATCCATCCACAGGAGAATTCCACCAGAACAAACAGGCAGAATACGCCTGTGAGCAGTAATGGCGGGAAAGGACAGCTATGTACTACGCCCTATGCTCAGCCGCACTAACACTGAATACCCAGATAACAAGCCTGGCCTACACAAATGCACACACAGACCAAGGCAGTCTAGCCTGTCATTATAATACAGGCCTGTGTACAGCCCATGCACACACACAGCATGCCCCTAGCTGTGCTTGTACATGTAATCTACAGGCAGGACCTCAGTGCACCTGCATAATTGATTGGGTCTGATCACTTTACACAGAGGGGTGCAAGTAGGTTAGGAGGGGAAATTGGCAATGGATACTACAGTGCCGTGTTGTGATAACCTGTGCTGTATGATTACAGCTACTGTACATGTAAGTTCAAAGTACTGGTACATACACATGTACAGTACATTTACACTTATAGTACTGCGCAAAGTACTATCAAAATCATGAATCAACTCAGTCAGCAGGCTGAAGCCAGGAACGTCTAGAAAATTCACAGCTTAAGGGGAAGGAGGAACATGGACAATTTCCATTTTGTGCAAGAAGTTACCAATAACTTAGTAAATTAATCTTAGAAAGGGTACTGCATGCATCACAATTTGTTGCATGTAAACCTCAAACATCGTTTTGATTTAGGACATCTTAGAGCATGTGAAAATATGAAAAGTTACAGGCACTATATACAACACAATCAACTTTTCGATCAAATGGAAAACATCACTGTAAATAGCAAATGTGCAATTTAGACTGCTGCATCGTATGTCACTGTATCTTTGTGCCCTAATATAAAGTCATATTACCTCTTCTTATTCATGAATGAGTAAATAATGTAATGTGCTCTATTTCACGTGACTTGCAATCAATCTCATTCAGAAAGTAAAAAAAAACTATGATCTTTTGAATGGCTCCAAGTGGAACAAAAGAGGGCCCCTTTTTTTGGTACTGAGTCACCGCATGGGCGCACCATGAGGCACGCAAGTGATGTACATGTATGTGTGTTAGACGTGAAGCACGCTGGGTACGCGTAACTAATTTATTCCGCCATGTATGGTCTTTGCGTACACGCAGAAAACCTGCAAGAACCTGCTTGTAAACACCTGTCTTTCTTTTGCCGGGCGGATTGGAGGTGCACCTCGGCTCGGAGCGGACAGTGGAAAAGAATCAAAGGTTCAAACATTGAAGAACAAGCTGACCATGTGACCAAGAAAAGAGGATATATGTGGGTTATGAACATCTGGAGGTTAACCAATTAATTACAATTTAACAGGAAAAAGTAACAAACAAGTGTTTTCAGCATGTCCAAAACGGAAA